TATCATTGACGAATAAACAAAATAAATTAAAATCTAAGAAAAAAAAAATCCAATCTGTGAGGGCATCTGACAATGTGTCAAGCAACACCGCTGACTAATCTCAGCTTCAAATAAATAAAGAAAAGGTTCATTATCCAGCAACGTGTACCAGAATTAAGATGGATCTGTGCTTAGAAAAATCAACTTCACTGAGGTCTGGTCTGGTCCTTTGTGTGATAAGATTTCAGCAAATACAGACAGAACACAGCCTTTTTATAAATGCCTAGAAAAAGATCTAAACATTGATTCAGTCTTTTATGTTCTCAATTAAATCAAATGAGTTAAATGTTAGTAGCAGTCCGACACCTGGAGAGGGGTGATCAGGAAGAACTTTGTGAATTGAACTTCGGTGGTGTTCTGGTATTGGACTTCTGTTCTAGCCACAGTTTGTCCAGAGCGAACACCATGTTCAAGCACAAGGATGTTCCTCAGTGCATGGAGCACCAGGACCACCAGACCAGAGGTCCTTGATCAACTTTATTGTTGTGTCATCTGATTTTCAGCAGCATTTCTTGGACCCTCAGGTGAAGAGACTCATCCATCACCCTGGCTGAAGTCACTGACGTGGCTCCTCAGTGGCAAGGTTCTGGAAGTGGATGAGATCAGAGTATTTTAAACCTTTGGATGTTGTGGGGTTGTGTTGGCTGACACGCCTTTGCACCATCACGTGGTAGTCGGGGCAGTATCTCTGGTTTGACAGACCAGGGTGGTGGTCCCTTTCTACTGGAGGGTGTGTTCCAACTACAGGGGAATCACAGGGGAATCACACTCCTCAGCCTCCCCAGTAAAGTCTATTCCACAGATTGGAGAGGAGAACTGACCCATACTCAAACCTCTAATTCAGGAAGAGCAGTGTGGGTTTTATCACGGTCACAGAACACTGGACCAGCTCTATACTCTTCAGCAGATGCTCAAGGGTTCATTTCCCAACCAGTCCACATGTGCTTTGTGGATCTGGAGATGACATTCCACCATGTCCCTTGTGGTGTCCTTTGCGTGGTGCTTCCGGAGGATGGGGACAGGGGCCCTTTGCTAAGAGCTGTGTGGTCCTTGTATGACTGGAGTAGGAGCTGTGTTCACAATGCCACGCTGCAGCTCTCAGGGCTGAGAAATGAGTGTGAAATGGTTCTAATAGGGTTTAGACTTAAACTGGGTATGGACAGATAGAGTGGGTCTACAAGGCTCTGTGTACTTTTGGACTGGTTCTGACTGCGTTTAGACTGGTCCAAACAGTGCCCGGGCACCAGCCTTCTGGAGGCTAGAGGTAAGAGGACATTTTGGATTTGATCATGTGACATGTCAGAGTACTGATGCAGGGAGAGTGCAGAGTGTTGTTCATCAGTGTTCCACTGATGTTCACAGAGTGAGGCCTAATCAGCACAAATAGAACCCAGATCTCCACAAAACACAAGGGACCAGTCACAGCTGCATCATGTTGGACACTTTTTCACAGTTTTGAACTTCTTTGAACTTTGCACATATTACATCTTACATTTCCAAACATTTTAGGTTTAATCCAAAAACATTCATTTTGTTTTCTTATGTACATCAACTTCTTGGGTGGTTTTTAAAGACAATAGGAGATGAATTTACCTTGTTCACAGGTTTCAGCTGCTGCCTCTTTATCTTCAGAAAAAAATCCAAAATTCAGAATAACCACTGTTGCTGTTTATTTATATCCATGAAAACATTACCACAAAGGCAATAAAAACATTCTTCCTTTAGACAATAGAATGTGTTTTTTCAACATTAAATAGTAATACTTTCTTTTCTATTCCCATGTGGTTTTATATGTGTGTAATCCTCAGTGTTCCAGTAGGTTCCATATTGGTCCATGTGTGTACACTAGTCTATGTGCTCTTATAATTGTTCTGATCCAGCTCAACATCATCCTAAAGACATTCAGGAAAGCTTCATTTCTGTCCTGTGAATGTATTTTTTTTTTATATATCTGCTCAAATGAGTATCTAGTTTCATTACTAGTTTTTGTATTGAGTACTGTGTATTTTCTGATACTTTTGACTCTTAAACTTCTAACAGATTTGTCATCACTTGTACAAATATTTACAATTTTGCTTGAATGCATTTCCCATTTTGATTTCCTGGATTGCAACAGTTTAGGAATCAAGTCTCAAACTTTTTTTTAGAATAAGCAAACTCACTTCAAACATGTAAGCATTCTTTCAGTGTTTAAGGAGTAGACCAGTATTAAACCAGGACCACTGTTGGGCAAGTTACTTTGAAACTGTAATGCGTTATTTATGACCTATTACTGTCATTTCAAAGTAATTCGTTACATTACAATATTACTGCATTTAAAATGTAAGGCATTACATTACTATTGCATTACTTTAAGTTACTCTCACCAAAATAACTTTTGCACTGTATATGGACTGAACCAGGACTAAACCAGGTCTAAACCAGGACTAAACCAGAGCTGAACCAGGACTAAACCAGAACTGAACTAGGACTAAAACAGGACTCACTGTAGGGACGGGCTCGAAGGTGACCGCAGGAGAAAGGAGCGGCTCTGCTCCGCACCTCACGGAGGTAAGAGCGGCTGTCACCCTGCTGCTCGGGCTCGCGGCCCTGATTTCAGCAACTATTTGCAGGGACCCGAGCCGGTGCAAGAGTCTGTTACAGCGCGTAACTTCTACCTTCCTTCAGCGTGTCCAGAAGTCCAACTTTTTGTGTGATGGTTAGATCTTCCTCTGTCTTTTGGGTGCGAGTGCAGGAGCCTTTGTCGGTGCAGAACGTTTCGTCGACGTTGTGGGTTTCGTCGGGGAGAAAACTTGCAGACATACAGCACTTCAGAATCACACTGCTAGAGATTAAACATGTATTTAAATTTGGCAGCTGAACACATTCTGTACTGTACTGTACAGGAGACAGGAGTCCCTTGGCCAGTCAGGACGCAGCAGGAGGAACGCAATACGCATTCATACAATGTAAAAAAAAAAGGCATACAAAATTGCACACAAAAAAAAAATCTGCGAGACCGCGAAAAGTGAACTGCGATAGAGGGAGGGACGAGTGTAAACCAGGTCTAAACCAGAACTGACCCAGGTCTAAACCAGGTTTTAGCAAATTTGTATGAAGAAAAAAACACCACTTCAATCCAATCCAAAAAAAACATTGTAATTCGTTACTTTTATAACGCGTTACTCCCAACACTGACCAGGACTAAACCAAGACTAAACAAAGACTAAACAAGGATTAAAACAGGACTGAACTAGGACTAAACTAGGACTAAACCAGGACTGACCCAGGATCCAAAACAGCACAAACCCTGTCTAAACCCAATTTAAATCCATCTGGTAAAAACAAAACAAACAAAAATACCAGGTCAAAACTAGGATAAAAGCAACCCAACCAAGAACTATCCTAAAACTATGTCTAAAGCATTTATATTATGTCTTAAATAGACAAATGTAGGGTGACCAGATGTCCCTGTTTACCAGGGACAGTCCCAGTTTTGAACCCTGTGTTCCCTGTGTCAGCAGATTTATCCAAAACAACTGATTTGTCCAAGTTTTGTACAAAAAATGTTCCAGGTGTCCCTTTGACCACTTTAATACCCACCGAGAGAGAAATATATTGTCATTTGTTTAGCAAATTACTGAAAATTAAGCTTGAAAATAACCATAAGAAGAAAAAAAAGATGACGATGATCCACAAATTACATTGAAGATTTTACACACTCTTTTTCACAATCTTATTTACATCAACCATCCCAACCTGGATGCATCCCAGTTTTGAGTTTTGAAAATCCGGTCACCCACAAATGCATCATTTAAAAGTAAAATCAAATCAAATGTAGTTTAGTCCTGGTTTAGTGGTTAAAGTCTGTGCTACAACTCAAATAAAACAATACAGTCAAACAGAATGGATTTGGTGGAGCCTCTGTCTCCATGGAGATGTCATGTGTGGTGCTTGTGTCCATGGAGATAGTTTATCAGTTTAATGCCATACTGTGGAACATTCCAGGCACAACAGTAACATTGCAAGTAGAAAAGCAGATGGTGGACCAGAAAATGTTTATATTGAAGCTGTGTGAAGCGAACTGAAAGCACTACTCTGTTACTCAAGTTAGACTTTATTCTGAGCTTTATTTTAACACAGTCTAATGAGAAAAGGCTGACTTGGTTGGAACTAAAACAGGTGAGGTTGTGCAGTTAAACAAGTTCCTCTGACTTTGAATTACTTTGTGTACGAACTGTGATCAACTTGCCTTAGCTTGCCTCTCAAATAAAATTACAGTCACAATCTAGTTAATCTTTTTAGCTAAGCCTAATTTATCGTCGTGTGTCAAATCGTCTCAGAAGCAGAGAGTCTGCATCGCCGTGAACCCCCTCCACAAAGCATCTGCGTCAACCGATGTACACCTCTTATATTTTATAACTACGCATTAAAACGGCACAGACAGCACTGGAAAGGCCTGTGATTCGTCCTCTCTGCCACCGCTTTACATACATTTTTTTCTGTGAATTACTTCACGGCCATACATTTCAAAGCAGATCCATAAATCAAAAACGATGGCGACAAGTGTGGTAGTGTGCGTTGAGTCAACACAGAACTATAGTTCAGCCTTTAGTCACCTTTTTGTTTGAAATCAAACACCTCAACAAGATCATGAACACTTGAACTGATCACAGGCTCCTGAAAATTTGTTGTTGGTTTTTTTTGGAGTTTTCAGACGATCTTAAACCTTTTTTGTTTGTGTCTGCTAGTCTGTGCATCGTGTTACCATGGAAAGTGCCCATCATTCCACCAATAGAAATACGCATTGTAGAACACCCCCAGCCTGATGACACAGCAGAGAATCAGATAAATAGATAAATACTTTATTTATCCTGAAGGAAATTCATTTTTCCCAAAGGAAGCTCATTTTCAGTTATTATATCATATTCATTCAATCACATACTCACATTCAAACAAATAAATCACAGATTATCCAGAATTCATTTCCTCATATCTCTGAAAACATTTCTGAGAGCAGTCCTGAACACTGAGCTGGAGAAGGTGTAGATGACGGGGTCCAGAGCGCTGTTCAGATACGTCACTCCGATAGAGACCATGAACGCCAGCACTATCTTTCGGAAGCCTTCACAGTCTTGTGGTCTGAACCTTTTTAATGCCAAACTGCCCAATCCCGTGACGATGGCGGGCAAAAAACAAACTGTAAACACCAGATTTATCACGGCAAGCGTTCGTATGGCTTTCTTAAACTTCTTTTGCTGGATAATTTGTTCCTGCCTTTTTAAATACCAAATGATTCTTGCTGAACAAAACAGTAGCACAAACCATGGAAGGATGAATTCGATGACATAAGCAATGTAGTGGACAGTTATCGCTAATGGTGGATTCTGGTAAGAGCTAAAACTTCGACACATTGATCGGTTGCCTTGGTGTTGTAAAAGATTGGTCGTTAGCAACGGAACTCGGCAGATTATGACCACCAACCATATCAAAGAGGACAGCCAGACAGCGTGGCGTGAAGACATCAAGCTAACGCAATTCATAGGGTGGAGAACTTTGAAATAGCGATTTAGGGCCACAACAGTCATGAACGCAATGCTGGCTGAGCGGTTCACGGCTAGCATGAAGAGGTTTACCCTGCAAAACATCTCTCCGTAAATCCAGTGGTCGCCTCGCAAATGTGTGTCGATCCGGAAAGGGACGCAAGCCAAAAGCAAGAAGTCGGCGAGCATTAAGTTGAACAGAAAAATGGCGTGAGATTTCCAGATTTTCATGCGGAAACAGAAGATCCACAAGGCCAAAATATTCCCGGGAAGACCGACAGCCACTTCCACGATCATGACCAGGAAGAGGAAGGACGTCCTGGTCTCCTTGGTGTAGGCGCAGTGCATGGGCACAGCGGAGAAGTTGGACATGTTGAGACGTAGACGTGTCTGAATTCTGAAAAAAAAAAAAAAGGAAAGTAAAATATGAGACAGTACACGGGATGATGGTTGTGGTGACTCGGAGTGTCGCCTAATAGCAAGGAGGTCCCCGGTTTGATTCGCTTGTTTTCAGTGTAACTTTGAATGTTTTCCATGTGTCAAAGTTAGTTTCCTATAAACAATTTGGTCATTAATATTCCTTGGGGATGTGATGCTAACTGTAGGCTCTGCTCTGTCTCAAGCTCTGTTACACAAATTGGACTTTAATCTTATTTTAACACAATCTGACCAGAAGCTCCGTGACTACTGGAGCCTCAGGTGCTCATCTAAATGCAATGATAACGCCACACTTTTTTTACCGCATAACACGTTGGTCATAGGCTTGTAATTTCAGCTCTGAGGACTCTCGAATCATTATATAAAAGTGCTCTCAGGACCCATGACAAGAAAAGTGGGCTGTTCCTCCACGAAAACACAGCATTTTAAGTTTCTATAAACCTGATCATGTTTGCAAATGTTTGTCATTCATGATACTGCTGCTCCGCTAAAACTGTTTGTTTCTCTGAGCTCTGAAACCACCTCCTGAGCCTCTCGATCCACTGTGCGCGGTGACTGCAGGATCCACAATCGCAGGATCTACAAATGCAGGATCTACAATCGCGGGATCTACAAACGCAGGATCTACAAACGCGGGATCTACAAACGCAGGATCTACAAATGCAGGATGCAGGATCTACAAACGCAGGATCTACAAACGCAGGATCCACAAATGCAGGATCTACAAACGCAGGATCTACAAATACAGGATCCACAATCGCAGGATCCACAATCTCAGGCTAGACAACCGCAGGATCTACAAATGCAGGATCCACAAACGAGTGCAGGATTCACAAGCACAGGATCTACAAATACAGGCTCCACAAATGCAGGATCTACAAATCTACAAATGCAGGATCTACAAACGGGATCTACAAACGCAGGATCCACAAACGCAGGATCCACAACCGCAGGATCTACAAACGCAGGATTCACAAATGCAAGATCTACAGACAAGTGCAGGATCTACAAACGCAGGAAGGCATTTTCATATCCGGATGTCCGTCAGTGGAACATGTTACCAACAGAACTGATCACATGTACAAACTAAAGGATGTGTCGACTGATGCGTGTCTGGAGAGAGTGTGATGTTCTGGAGTGAATTAATTGAATGATGATTTTGATAAAGGATGATATTTTAAAATGCTGAGAAAACTGGGTGTGAATGATGATGATATTATGAACTATAACATCAACCTGCCCAGGGACGACAGGTGGAAATTAGCACTGGCGCTACAACCTGGTACAAACATCTCTTCTGTTAAGGTTCATGTAGACTGTCCACTGTCCCTGTCTCATTAAATAAATAAACAGTTATTTTAATAGGTCCATGAGTAAATGTGAAGAAACTGACAATAAAGCTAACTTTGAACTTTGAACTTTAACAACAGCCAACAGTTTTTCAGTCTCTCTCACCTTTTTGTTGAAAATCAAACTCCTAAACAGGACCATGAACACTTTTACTGATTACAGATGTGCAAATGTGTTATTAAATCCACTTTGTATTTGAGTGTTCAAACAATCGTAAAATGTTCTGGTAGTTATTACTGTTGTATGCAGTGTGTCTCCATTGTAAGAGCTGAACATTCCAACGCAGACAGACAAAACACACACCAGCGTGATGTCAACAGGGACATTTATTCTCTTATCCTTGAATTAACCCCAGTGTGGTTAAATCTGTCAGGGGTTCAGGCCCAGGGACCCAGCTCCAGATATTGAGCTAGGCTTGGTCAGGACTACTTAAGGAGTCTAATATTTTCATGCTTTAGATAAATGAGGGGAGCATACGAAACCCACACAAACACAGACAGAACACACAAACTCCAAAATGTCTCCACATGGACCGAATCCAAGAGGTTCCTGCTGTGCATCAAGAGTTCTAACTACCAGACCTCTACTAAAGAACAGATCAAACCCAGAAGTAAAACAGGATTAAACCAGAACTAAACCACAACTGAACTAGTACTAAACTAGGAGTAGAGCAGGAAAACAAAGGTTAGACCAGGATTAAACCAGGACTAAACCAGAAGTAAACCAGGACCTAAACCAAACTAAAACAGGATTAAATCTGAAATAGGTCTAGACCGTGATTAACTTTGAACAAGACTAAACCGGGACTAAAACAGGATTAACCAGGAGTAAACCAAAAGTAAACAGGACTAAAACAGGACTGAACCAGACCTAAACCAGGACTAATCCAAAACTAAAACAGGATTAAAACAGGACGAAACCACAACTGATCCAGGACTGAACCAAGACTAAACCAGGACTGACCCAGGAGCAACAGTTCAGCCCCAGGGACCCACACAGACACAGGCAGAACACGCAAACTCCAAAACGTCTCCACATGGACAATCAAATCCAAGATCTTCCTGTTGTGCATCAAGATCTTTATCCACTGTTCCACTACAGACTTTAACCCTGATGTCGGCCTATTTCAAGTTTTCATAATCAAACACAATCATACAAACATGCATCCGGTATTAACGCCGATTAGTGAGCACATCCAAAACAAACAACATCTTTTTTGCACGACATCTGCATCAGTTTGTTACACAACCTGCTGCACAGGTCACTTTAGGACATAAAAGAAAAAAAAAGATTTTATTTGAGGAGAAGCGTCGCAAATGAAATAGAGACAAAAGTAATTACAAAACAAACAGATTTTTGCCTTGTTTTGTGCATTTGCGTTTGTTCATTTAAAGTGCACTGCGGAACATTTCTAGGGGAGGGTCAAATGTTCTTGCTTTGTCTAGAATGTTCTACAGTGTACATTAAATATATCTGTCACAAGGCAAACAAGCAGGTTACAGCACTACTACTACAAATTTGTTAGTCCTGGTCTAGTCCTGGTCTAGTCATGGTCTAATGTTGGTCTAGTCCTGGTCTAGTGCTGGTTTAGTCCTGGTCTAGTCCTGGTCTAGTCCTAATCTAGTACTGTCTACTGCTGATCTAGTCCAGGTCTAGTCCCGGTGGGGTTCTTGTCTAGTACTGGTCTAGTCCGGGTCTAGACCTAGTCTAGTGTTGGTCCTGGTCTAGTCCTGGTCTAGTCCTAGTCTAGTCCTAGTCTAGTGTTGGTCCTGGTCTAGTCCTGGTCTAGTCCTGGTCTAAGTGCTGGTCTAGTCCTGGTCTAGTTCTAGTCTAGTGCTGGTTTAGTCCTGGTCAAATCCTAGTCCTGGTATAGTTCTAGTTTTGTGCTGGTCTAGTGATGATTTATTCCTGGTCTAGTGTTGGTCTTTTGCTGATCTAGTCCTGGTCTAGTCCTGGTCTAGTCCTAATCTAGTACTGTCTACTGCTGGTCTAGACCTGGTCTAGTCCTGGTGTGGTTCTTGTCTAGTACTGGTCTAGTCCGGGTCTAGGCCTGGTCTAGTGTTGGTCCTGGTCTAGTCCTGGTCTAGTCATGGTCTAGTCCTAGTCTAGTGCTGGTTTAGTCCTCTTCAAATCCTAGTCCTAGTCTAGTCCTGGTATAGTTCTAGTTTAGTGCTAGTCTAGTGGTGATTTGGTCCTGGTCTAATCCTAGTCTAATGCTGGTCTAGTTCTAGTCTAGTTCTAGTCTATTGCTGGTCTTGGTCTAGTCCTAGTCTAGTCATGATCTTGTCCTAGTCTAATGGCGGTCTAGTCCTGGTTTAGTGTTGGTCTCGTTCTTGTCTAGTCCTGGTCCAGTCCTGGTTTCATGTTGGTCCTGGTCTAATGCTGGCCTAGTCATGGTCTAGTCCTAGTCTAATGGTGGTCTAGTCCTGGTTTTGTGTTAGTCTCGTTTTTGTCTAGTCCTAGTCTAGTGTTGGTCTAGTCCTGGTGTGGTTCTTGTCTAGTACTGGTCTAGTCCTGTTCTAGTCCTAGTCTAGTGTTGGTCCTGGTCTAGTCCTGGTCTAGTCCTAGTCTAGTCCTAGTCTAGTGTTGGTCCTGGTCTAGTCCTGATCTAGTCCTGGTCTAATGCTGGTCTAGTCCTGGTCTAGTTCTAGTCTAGTGCTGGTTTAGTCCTTGTCAAATCCTAGTCCTGGTATAGTTCTAGTTTTGTGCTGGTCAAGATTTTATTTGAGGAGAAGCGTCGCAAATGAAATAGAGACAAAAGTAATTACAAAACAAACAGATTTTTGCCTTGTTTTGTGCATTTGCGTTTGTTCATTTAAAGTGCACTGCGGAACATTTCTAGGGGAGGGTCAAATGTTCTTGCTTTGTCTAGAATGTTCTACAGTGTACATTAAATATATCTGTCACAAGGCAACAAGCAGGTTACAGCACTACTACTACAAATTTGTTAGTCCTGGTCTAGTCCTGGTCTAGTGCTAATCTAGTACTGTCTACTGCTGGTCTAGACCTGGTCTAGTCCTGGTGTGGTTCTTGTCTAGTACTGTTCTAGTCCGGGTCTAGGCCTGGTCTAGTGTTGGTCCTGGTCTAGTCCTGGTCTAGTCATGGTCTAGTCCTCTTCAAATCCTAGTCCTGGTCTAGTCCTGGTATAGTTCTAGTTTAGTGCTAGTCTAGTGGTGATTTGGTCCTGGTCTAATCCTAGTCTAATGCTGGTCTAGTTCTATTCTAGTCCTAGTCTATTGCTGGTCTTGGTCTAGTCCTAGTCTAGTCATGATCTTGTCCTAGTCTAATGGTGGTCTAGTCCTGGTTTTGTGTTAGTCTCATTTTTGTCTAGTCCTGGTCTAGTGGTGATTTAGTCCTGGTCTAATCCTGGTCTAATGCTGGTCTAGTTTTGGTCTAGTCCTAGTCTAGTGCTGGTCCTGGTCTAGTCCTGGTCTAGTCCTGGTCTAGTCCTGGTCTAATGGTAGTCTAGTGCTAGTCTAGTCCTGGTCTAGTCCTAGTTTAGTGCATTAGTACATTACAGGTCAGATCTGTGGAGAAGCGTCCTTATTCACTGAAGGAATTACTGCGTTTTTGAGCGAAAGAAACAAACAAAATGAATGAATAATAAGTGGAAATGTTTAAAGTCATACCATGGAACATTCCAGGCAATGCAATAACATCTCCATGGCAACCCTTTAAAGCTATACATTTATCACTATAGCTGTAAAAAAATAAATAAATAAAAAAAAATCACTAAAAAATAGAGTTGTTTGTACAGTCCAGCTTGAATAAAATTATTAGATTAATTTGTTTCAGAGCAAATTACAATATTACAAATTACAATCAACAAAAAACTTCCAACATTTTTAATTAGTTCATGACAAATGTTAAACATAAAAACAAATATAAAAAATCCTAAAATCCTGTAACGTTTCATTTTATTTACATATAAATCTGCTGAAATTGCAAACTTTTGTGGTGGAAATTTTAGTCAACAAAAATGTAATTCATTTCTGGGTCTTAAATTACTTACTTACTTACTACAACATCTAATAAATTGAAAACAGATAGGAGTCACTGCAAATTTAAAACATCAGGGTGAACAATTGTGAATTTAAGTACAATGTGATCGGAAGTGAAAAAAAATTGATATATTTTTAAATCCAAATTGCAGAAGTTGTATTTAGACTCACCTCTTGTGTCTTGTGTGTTGTGTCTGGTGTGTCGTCTCTGTCCTCTGCTCTGCGCTCTGGCTTCACTTGGTTTTATTTATAACATTTATAAGAATGAGAAAACTCGGGTTTAAATACAGATGTCGTTGCCCTGTTTTCCCTCTCGACTTGTTCAAGCACGACTTCTTCTAGAGAAGTCCTTCATCCTGACGTTGGCTTCAGCACTTGATAAATTCCCTTTGTTTTGTTTTGTTTTTCGTGCCAAGTTTGGTGATGCGTGCAGAGTACTTTTGGTCCTGTTTGAGTCTGGTGCAGTCCTGCCTTCACACAAACACAATCACCACAGCAGAAACACACTCAACTAGGTAAAACCTGAAGCTAAACCTGGACTAAATCAGGACTGGAAACTGGACCAAACCAAATTTATAATAGTCCTGGTCAAATCCTGGTCAAGTCCTGGTCAAGTTCTTGTTTACTCCTTTGTTAGTCCTGGTTTAGCCCTTGTCTATTTTTGGTCAAATCCTCATCCTGGTTTAGTCCTGGTCTAGTCCTGGTCTAGTCCTAGTCTAGTACTGGTCTGTTCTAGTCCTGGTCTAGTCCTGGTCTAGTCCTGGTCTAATCCTAGTCTAATACTGATCTGGTCTAGTCCTGGTCTAGTCCTGGTCTAATCCTAGTCTAATACTGATCTGGTCTAGTCCTGGTCTAGTGCTGGTCAAATCCTAGTAAAGTCCTAGTCTAGTGTTGGTCTAGTTCTGGTTAAATCCTGGTCTAGTCCTGTTCTTGTCCTGGTCTAGCCCTTGTCTAGTCCTGGTCTAGTCCTGGTCTAGTCATGGTCTAGTCCTAGTCTAGTCCTAGTCAAGTCCTAGTCAAATCCTAGTCTAGTCTTGGTCTAGTCCTGGTCTAGCCCTGCCCTAGTCCTGGTCTAGTCCTGGTCTAATCCCGGTCAAGTCTGAATCCTGGTTAAATCCTGGTCGAGTGCTGTTCTAGTCCTGGTCTAGTCCTAGTCTAGTTCTAGTCTAGTTCTAGTCTAGTCCTAGTCTAGTATTGGTCTGGTCTAGTCCTGGTCTAGTCCTGGTCTAGTCCTGGTCTAGTGCTGGTCTAGTCCTGGTCTAGTCCTGGTCTAGTGCTGGTCTAGTGCTGGTCTAGTGCTGGTCTAGTCCTGGTCTAGTCCTGGTCTAGTCCTGGTCTAGTGCTGGTCTAGTGCTGGTCTAGTGCTGGTTGAATCTTAGTCGAGTCCTAGTCTAGTGTTGGACTAGTTCTGGTTTAGTCCTGCTCTAAATCCTGGTCTAGTCCTTGTCTAGTCCTAGTCTAGTGCTGGTGTGGTCTAGTTCTGATCTAGTCTAGTCCTGGTCTAGTCCTAGTCTAGTCTTGATTTAGTAATGGACTAGTCCTGGTTTGTTCCCTTTTTAAATATAATGTATGTGCACGTGTGAACACACTCTTGGTTTGGTCCTGTTCGAGTCCTGGTCTAGTCTAGTCCTGGTTTAGTTCTGGTCTAGTCCACATGTGTGTGTGCTGTAGAGACACATCTGTACACACCGCACACTATATAAAGACGTGGACTAAGTGAGTGTGACGTCACCACAGCGTTTGGCTGCAGTCAAATGAAGCTCATCGAGGCTGCAGTTATAGTGGTGAATTTGGAGCTCCGTATTAGAAATTGAAATTTATTTACAGATCAAATGGTGATATAAAAACACCAGGATGGATCATGTAGACTCACACACTCATATCATGACCTGTATCACTTATGGAAATAAAAATCAGGTCAGATTCAAAACATAAATCTTTTATTATTCAATCAAGAACATGGTTTAAAGTTCAAATATGAGATAACATTAGGGTGACTATGGTTAAAGTTTGGATCAGTCTCCAGGAAATAAGGACTGTGTGTGTGTGTGTGTGTGTGTGTGTGTGTCTATGTCGGTAAGCCAGACACAAAGATAAATGGCAGATTTCGATCCAAGAATGATCTCACCTTGGCCCAGGAGATTAGTTCCAGAAGACTGAAATCCAAACAATGTGTAAAATGTGTACAGATAAAATGAGGGCGTGTTTCTACAGGATATTGTCAGTAATATTTGTTAGTCATATTTTCTAAAGAAGACAAAAGTACAGACAACAATTACAGTCCCTGACAAAAGTCTTGTCGCTTATCCATTTTGTAGAAACAAAAGCTTATAACCTGACTTTAAATTAATCGATTGGTTTTAGAAATGTCTCATATGAAGCTAAAACCCTCCCAAATTATGCTCAATATACTAAAAAAAATTTGCTTCACTGAAAAATTATCATTTAAAAAAAAATAATTTAATGAACACAGAAAGGTCAGATTTTGGCAAGACAAAAGTCTTGTCGTCTTGTCATATGATGCACCCAATCCTAGATTACAGCCTCACCTGTGATCAGTTACTGATCAATCAGTTAGTGGGTGTGTATAAATAGAAGCCCAGCACACCAGACCTTCACATCAACTGCAACTTGACCTCTGACAACATGCCTAAGATCCACCCTGAGACCAAAGCGTTAATTATCAAGAGGCTGAAGACCAGATCCACTGCTGAGGTGGTGACACCTTCAATGTGTCTCAGCGTCAAGTACAAAGAATAAGAAAAAGATCTGAAATGACTGGAGATGTTTTTGACAAGCCCAGGTCCAGTAGACCCCGCAAGACAACTGCTCGGGAGGACAGTTTGTTGATTCAAAAATCCAAGGCCCCTTTTCCACTGCAGCAGACTCCACCAGGCCTGGTCACCTCAAGTCCCTGTGTCAACCACAACAGTTTGTAGAATTCTGTCTCGAAATGGCCTCCATGGTCGAATCAGTGCACAGAAACCAGCACTAAACAAAAGGCAATTAAAAAACCGTGTGGCATTTGCCAAGGCTCACAGCCTGCTAAAAGGATGGACACTGGAAAAGTGGCAGAAGGTGGATTTCTCAGATGAATCCAGCCGCCACAAATATTGCAGGAGACCTACTGGAGCCCGCATGGATCCAAGATTCACCCAGAAAACAGTTAAGTTTGGTGGCGGAAAAATCATGGTCTGTGGTTCCATCCAGTCTGGGGGTGTGCGAGACATTTACAGGGTGGAAGACAATATCAACAACCTAAAATATCAAGAAGTATTAGCTCCTCTTACATTCCCAACCATAAAAGGGGTCAAATTTTGCAGCAGGATGGTGCTCCATCACATACTTCTATCTCTACATCAAAGTTTCTCAAGGCGAAGAAGATCAAGGTGCTCCAGGACTGGCCAGCCCAGTCACCAGACATGAACATCATTGAGCATGTCTGGGGTAGAATGAAAGAGGAAGCATGGAAGGCAAAACCAAAGAATCTTGATGAACTCTGGGAGGCATGTAAGACGCTTTCTTTGCTCTACCCGATGACTTCATCAACAAATTGTATGAATCATTGTGGAACCGCATGGATGTGTCCTTCAAGCTCATGGAGTCATACAAGATATTAAATATGGATCTCACAGCACCACTACTTCATTCACTGACGTTATGCAACATATTTTTGTATTTGAAGTAAATTATTTGTTCAATTTTCTGTAGGTGACAAAACTTTTGTCTTGCCAAAATCTGACCTTTCTGTGTTCATTAAATGATCAATCTTTCTTCAGTGAAGCAAATTTATTTTAGTTTATTGAGCATAATTTGGGAGGGTTTTAGCTTCATATGAGACATTTCTAAAACCAATCGATTCATTTAAAGTCAGGTTATAAGCTTTTGTTTCTACAAAATGGATAAGCGACAAGACTTTTGTCAGGGACTGTATCTTAGATAATTATCACAGAGCTAAAGACTGAATGTTTATAAAAGGTCCCGTATCACCAATAGAGACTCTTGTGAGGTTTTGTTCACTCCACAAAAACAGACCTGGAGGTGTGTTTTGTTTCATTCACATGTTTACGGAATCCTTTATTATTAGTTTGTCTACATCTGCTCTGTTCCACCTTGTGATGTCATGAAGAGGTAGTTTTCAAGTGATCAAGATCCTTTGAATTTTTTATTTTTTATTTAGTTTCTATCTCTCTCTTTTTTGTTGTTGTTGTTTTTGTTTTTTTGTTGTTTCATTGTATACTAAATGCTATACACCTTCCATATCCCCCAGAAATCCGGCCCCGCCTTTAACTGTCTCCCAGATCTCTGTGCACTGGTCCTTTATGGATCCTCCTGCAGGTGGTGGGTCCATGGGAGGACGGCCCCACGTCGCTCCTTTGGGCTGTACTCGGCCAGGCCCCGTGGGGGGTGGCCCAGCCACCAGGCGCTCAATGTCAAGCACCCACCCCAGGCCTGGCTCCAGGATGGGGCCCCGGTACCACAAATCTGGGCAGTGTAACTGGCCTCTGTGTGGTGTTCATCATAGGGGGCTTCTGAAGTGGAGAGGAGCAGTTGAGGCTCGGGCATCTGCTCTGATGCCTCCTGGGCACCTCCCTCAGGAGGTGTTCTGGGCATCTCCCACGGGGAGGAGACCTCGGGGAAGACCCAGGACACACTGGAGGGACTATTTCTCTGGGCTGGCCTGAGAACACCTCGGGGTCCCCCCGGAGGAGCTGGAGGAAGTGTCCGGGGCGAGGGAAGTCCGGAAGTCCCTGCTTAGACTGCTGCCCCCGCGACCCAGCCCCGGATAAGAGGAAGAAAATGGATGATGGATGGACTATACCCCTTACTTATATAAACATGCTTACAGCAATCTGTCCCACTCCTCTTCTCTCCTTCTGTCCCTCTCTCTCTCTCTCTTTTTCCTCTTCCACATCTCTCCCTTTCTTCTCTCTCTCTCTTTCCTCCTCTCTTCTCTCCCACTCTTTTCATCTCCTTTCCCTTCTCTTCCTTTTTTCCACTCCACCTCCCTCCTCTCCATCTCCTCCTCCATCTCCTCACTCTTTACCTCCCTTCTCTTCCCCCTCCTCTCATCATCTCCTCTTTCTCACACTCTCTCTCCTCTTCCTCCCCTTTCTTTTGCTCTCTTTCTCTCCTCACCTCCCTTCCTCTCCTACTCCTCTTTCTCTCCCCCTCTGTCTCTACTCCCTCTCCCCTCCTTGGTCTCTCCTCTGTCCATCTCCTCTTCCTCTCTTCTCCTCCTCCTCTCCCTCGTTCTTAGGTAAACTGAAGAGAAGACAGAGATGTTGAGATTGTAGAACTATGTGAGATCT